TATTTTCCATTTGTATTTTTTCTTCTGAGACCTCTTTGTTCATTTCTTAGCCCATTTTTAGAATGATTTTTTTTTTGTTTGTTTGTTTTTCGAGACAGGGTTTCACTGTAGCTTTGGAGCCTGTTCTGGAACTTGGAACTAGCTCTTGTAGAGCTGGCCTCAAACTCACCTGCCTGCTGGGATTAAAGGCAAGCACCACCACTGACCGGCATGATTTGTTTTTGTTTTAATTGTGTGTATACATGTGTGTCTGTGAGATCTGGGTATGTGCCTGTGAGTGTAGTGGTCAGTAAAGGCCAGAAGAGGGCACTAGATCCCTGAAGTTGGAGTTTAAGTGCTCGTGAGTGTGTGTGTGTGTGTGTGTGTGTGTGTGTGTGTGTGTGTGTGTGTGTGTGTTTAGGTCCTCTGCAACCATCCACTCTTTTTTAATTTTTAAAAAATAAAGCCGAACATGGTGACACACACTTTTACTCCTGGCACTCAGGAGGCAGAAGCAGGTGGATCTCTGTGAGTTTGAGGCCAGCCTGGTCTACAGATGAAGTTCCAGGACAGCAAAGATATTACACAGAAAAACCAATCCTGTCTTGAGAAAGCAAATAAAATAAAATGCTTATTTATTTACTTTAGGTGTATGAGTGTTTTGCTTGCATATTCTACCAAAGCGCCAAATGCTCAAGGAGGCCAATAGCCTGCAGAGGTTCTCTGTCCTGTCCTCCTCAGCAGGTGGCAGGTCCTGCAGAGAGCTGCAGGTTTCACGAGTAAGCACCCGTGCTGAAGTCAAAGTCGGGTTTTGTTTTCTTTTTTGGGGTTTATTTTCTTTGCTTCTTCTTCTTCTTCTTCTTCTTCTTCTTCTTCTTCTTCTTCTTCTCCTTCTCCTCCTCCTCCTCCTCCTCCTCCTCCTCCTCCTCCTCCTCCTCCTTCTCCTTCTCCCTCTCCCTCTTCTTCTTCCTCCTCCTCCTTCTTCTTTTATTGATTTTTCAGGACAGGGTTTCTCAGTAGCTATGGAGCCTGTCACTCATGTTTCTGTTAGTAACCCAAATAAACACACAGGTCCACCAGACTCTAATGTAATTGTAAAACTGGTGGATGTCTATGAGCTTGGGGTCAGCCTAGTAGTCTATATAGTGAGTTCCAGGACAGCCAAGGCTACATAAAGAGACTCTGTCTCAAAATTAATTAATTAGTTAATTAAAAACTGTACACAAAGTTCAGTTGGTAGAGTGCTTGCCTTTCAAGCATGAGACCATAGGTTTGATTTCCCAGTGTTAGAAAAAGGAATAATTAGGGGTTGGAGAGATGGCTCAGTGGTTAAGAGCACTGGCTGCTCTTCCAAAGTACCTGGGATTAATTCCCAGCACCCACATGGCAGCTCCCAACTATTTGCAGCTCCAAGATCTGATACCCTCATTGCAGGCAAAACACCAATACACACAAAAAAATAAATAAAAATTTAGGGGGAGGGGGAGGGGGAGGGAAATGGGAAGCGGTGGTGGGGAGGAGGCAGAAATCTTAAATAAATAAATAAATAAATAAATAAAGGAAATAAATAAATAAAATTTATAATTTTTTTCTTCTATTTTTTTTGTTTTTTTAATGGTTTTATTCAATTTATTTTAATTTATATGTATGACTGTTTAATTTTTTTTTGTTTTTAAGATTTTGTTGTTGTTGTTGTTTGTTTTTCGAGATAGGGTTTCTCTGTGGCTTTGGAACCTGTCCTAGTAAATAAAAATTTAAAAAGGAATAATGATAATAATAATCACACAATGAAGATATCTTTTTCACGCAATCAAATTGAAGCTTGAGTTACATAGCTAGCTCTACCCAGGCAAGTGATTCCTTCCTTCCTTCCTTCCTTCCTTCCTTTCTTTTTCCTCTCTTTCTTTCTTTTTTCTTAAATTTATTTATTTAATTTTCAAGTGTGTGGGTGCTTTGCCTGCTTGTACATCTGCGCAGCACATGTGCCTGGTGCCCGAAGAGGTCAGAAGAGAGCATTAGATTCCTCAGAACTGGAACCATGGATGCCTGTGAGCTATCACATGAAAGCTAGGAATTGAACTCCAGTCCTCTGCAAGCGCAACCAGTATTCGTAACCACTGAGCCATCTCAACCTCAATTTCTTTCATCCTCAATAGCTACTGAAAATCATTAATCAGTTTAATCACTGGGGTGGGGGGGGCGCATGCGCGCATAGACGCTAAGGACAACCTAACACGTGTCATTCTTTAGGCATCATTCACTCTACAAAAAAGTTATTTTTTAAAGATTTGGGTTTTTTGGGGGTTTTTTGGTGGTGTTGTTGCTGCTTTCTTTCTGTTTTTTTGTTTGTTTGTTTGTTTGTTGTTTTGAATTTTCGAGACAGGGTTTCTCCGTAGCTTTTGGTTCCTGTCCCGGAACTAGCTCTGTAGACCAGGCTGGTCTCGAACTCATAGAGATCCACCTGCCTCTGCCTCCCAAGTGCTGGGATTAAAGGTGTGCGCCACTACCGCCCAGCCTGTTTTTGTTTTTTTGAGACAGGGTTTCTCTGTATAGCCCCTGGCTATCATAGAAGTCATTCTGTGGACCATGATGGACTCAAATTCAGAGATCCACCTGGGGATTAAAAGTGTGCATCACCACTGCCCAGCTTAAAGATGTCCTTTTATTGTTTTAAGTTACATGGAGGTGTGTGTGTGTGTGTGTGTGTGTGTGTGTGCATGTGTGCACACGAGTGCAGGTTAGGGCAGGGCTCAGATTTCCTGGAACTAGAGTTACCTTATGACGTAGGTGCCAGTGGTTCCATTCCTGGTCCTCTGGAAGAGCAGCGTGCTCTTAACCACTGAGCCATCTCCCTGGCCCTGCCTCCAATTTCTTTTTGAGACAGGATCTCTTGACCTGAAATTCACAAAGGAGGCAAGGCTGGTTGGCTTATGAGCCCCAGGAATATGCCTGTCTCTGCTTCCCAGGACTGCGATTACAAGTGGCTACCTAGCACCACACCTGGCTTTAGGGCTCTGGGGATTGATTGCAGGTCCTTGGACAAGCACTATACCTACAGTCTCAAATAAGCTTCATATTCAGATTAAGAGCCTAGTAAAGAAAGGTATTCAACTGGCATTTTTAAGGTTAGTAATAATCAAAAGTGAACTGTTTTCTTTTCTTTGATTATTTATTTTATATGCACTGATGTTTTGTCTGCATGTATATCTGTGTGGGGGTGTCAGATCCCCTAGAACTGTAGTTACGGACAGTTGTGAGCTGCAAGTGTGGGTGTTTGGATTTGGACCCAGGTCCTCTGGAAGAGCAGCCAGTGCTCAACCACTGAATGGTCTCTCCAACCCATTAACTATTTTTTCTTTCTTCCTTCCTTCTTTTTCCTTCTTTTTTTTCCTTTCTTTCTTTTTCTTTTTTCTTTTGTTTTTTCAAGACAGAGTTTCTCAGTAGCTATGGAGCCAGTCCTGAAATTCGCTCTGCAGACCAGGCTGGCCTTGAACTCACAGAGATCCACCTGCCTCTGCCTCCGAGTGTGATGTGCATCACCACAGCCCAGAGCGAACTGTTTTCTTATGGGATGTAGAAGTACACTACTTTCTGAGTCCTTATTAGAAAATTTTGCATAATTTCTGAGATGCTGGGATCAAACCCTGGCTTCAGCCACACTCTACTAAAGGGAGCCACATCCCAGGCCTCTTTCTGGACTTTATAGATGTCCTCTGGCCTCTCTGGAGAGCCAAATATAGCGGGCCTCTGACTTGCAGAGGACGTTGGAGCTCAGCAGGGGGCGCTGGAACGGAGCAAGTGTAAACAGAGAACAAGCCTTGAAAGAGTCCTATAAACCACGAAGTGACTCACTCATTCCTGGGCGCAGTTAGTTAAGTAAGATAAATAGAAATCGTAAGGAGCAAAGGCTTTAGCTGCAGAGGAGTGCAGAGACCTTAATAAAACAAGTGCAAATTCAAGGTCATTGCTTTGTGAGGGGGAAAAAGGGGTCTTAATTACCTCAAGTCAGGCGACAGTTGCGGAGAGTAAAGCCGGTTCACAAGGTCAGTCAGCAGCTGAGGAGATTAACAGCTCTTGCATTAGTACTTAGAAACGTAAATTCATAAGGGCTCACGCTACGATCCTTCGATCCGATCCTTCGCCACACAGAGGGATAAAGAAAAGCTACCAGTAACACCAGCTCTAGGGGAGCTGGGGCCAAAGGTCACTCTGGGCCACAAGGGGAGGCCCCATTTTTTTTTTCAAGAAAAGAAAAGAAACAACAACAACAAAACTTTTAAAAACCACAACCTAATAAATTCTACCGACTGTTTACTTAGAAAATACTTGTGAGGTCATTGCACCATGGACCCAAACATCAGAGATACCCAATGCTGCCAGAGGATACAGGAACTTACAGACATTCAACGTTTTCAGTTAAGGAGAGAGGGAAGGATGGGAAAGATTGAGAGGAGGAGAGGAGGAAGGAGGGCATGCAAGGATTAAACTCAGATCGTCAAGCTTGGCGGCAAATATTTTCACCCACCTGGTCATCTTATTGAGCCCTGTTTTTTGGTTTTACTTTTTTTCTTTTTTAAAAAAATGACATTGACTGGTTTTTGTTTTTTGTTTTTGTTTTTCGAGACAGGGTTTCTCTGTAGCTTTGGAGCCTGTCCTGGAACTCCCTTTGTAGACCAGGCTGGCCTCGAACTCACAGAGATCCGCCTGTCTCTGCCTCCCGAGTGGTGGGATTAAAGGCATGCACCACCACAGCCCGGCAATACTGACTGTTTTATATAGACATTTCCTTCGTTATTGATGTTTCTGAAGAGCCAGCCTGCTTTCATCTTTTTTTTTTTTAAAAAAAAAAAAGATTTATTACGTAACAGTGTTCTGCCTGCATCTATGCTTGCATGCCAGAAGAGGGCACCAGATGGCTGTGAGCCACCATGTGGTTGCTGGAAACTGAACTCAGGACTTCTGCAAGAGCAGTCTCTCCAGCCTTTTTTTTTTTTAATAACATTTTTTTTCATTTATTTTACATAAAAATGGAATGCTTCATGAATTTGTATTTTGTCCTTGTGCAGGGGCCATGCTAATCTCTGTATCATCTTAATTTTAGTATATGTGTTGCCAAAGCAAGAACAACCTCTTTAAAGAAAAAACATTCATTTATTATTTTTTTTTAGATTTATTTTGCTCATTAGAGTGTTTTGCCTACACATATGTCTGTGCACCACGTTGCATGCCTGAGGGAGTGGTGAGCCTCCACATGCATGCTGGGAATCGAACCTGAGTTCCTCACAAGAACAGCAAGTTCTCTTAACCACCGAGCCAGTTCTCCAGCCGCTGCTTATTTATAGTTTTTAAGTTCGTATGTGTATGGGAGGAGCTGCTCCAGAGGCCAGAAGAGGACATTGGATCCATCCCCTGTTCCCAGAAGCTGTGAGCCGCCACCATATGTGGGTCCTGGGTGTTAAACTCGGTCGTCTAGAGGAGCAGCACTCGGTCCTCAAGACTGAGCTGTCTATCCACGCAGCCCCTTTTAGACGAGGTCTCCTGTCTTCAGGACTGGCCTCAAACCCGCCACAGCCAAGGAAGACCTTGAACTTCCTGCCGAACCTCCCTCATGCTGGGATTCTGGAGAGAAACCAGCACAGTACGTTTATCTGGTGTTGGAAACGCTCGGCTCTACCCCGTCTGGGAGGAGGAGCGATTGAGTCAGCGGTTACATGGGCTGGAGACTGTCTCCAAGGCAGGGCCCGAGTGCATCCAGCTGGTGATTTCACCATGGCTCAAGCAAGAAGCTGAGGAAAGTCTACTGAATTAGGAAACTATGCAATAAATCAGCTGGGGAAAATTAATGCTGTCAGTTTTGTTCTTGGCATGTTGACCCAGCCAGCCTGGGCGATTCTCGGCTGTTAGAGCTGGCTGGATGTTTAGTGAGATCATCTGGACCTCTTCTTAGAAGCTATCAGTAGTGTTCCCTGACCCCAACCAAAACTGTCTGCAGCCACTGCGGTTGTTCCCCAGAGGTGATGCGACATATTAAGCTTTTTTCCTCCTCCTCCTCTTTCTCTTCCTCCTCTTCCTTCCTGAAACAGCCCAGGCTGGCCTGGAACTCACTCTCTAGATTAGGCTGGCTTCGAACTCAGAGATCCTCTTGCCTCTGCTTCTTAAGTGCTGACTATCACCCAGCAGCTTTTCTTTTTTTCATTATTTTGTTTTGATTTTTGCAGATGTCACAAGATAACTTTATTCAGAAGGAGCAACAGTGAAGATTTTAGAGGGCCACATGGCTCAGGGTGACAGCTGGCCAGAGCGAAAGTATCCCAGGACCTAGTTTCTTTCTTTTTTGGAAAGGTTTATTTATTATGTATTTGGCATTCTGCGTGTATGCCTGCAGGCCAGAAGAGGGCACCAGATCTGATTACAGATGGTTGTGAGCCACCATGTGGTTGCTGAGAGTTGAACTCAGGACCTCTGAGAGAGCAGTCAGGAATCTTACTGGCTAAGCCAGCCATCTCTCCAGCCCCCAAAACCTACTCTTGGTGTTTTTGTTTGTTGGTTTGTTTGAGACAGGGTTTCTTTGTGCAGCCCTGAATGTCCTGGCATTTGTTCTTGTAGACCAGGCTAGCTCAAACTCAGAGATCCACCTGTCTCTACCACCTAAGTAATGGGATTAAAGGCTTGCACCACCACCGACTGGCCTATTCTTGTTTTAAATAATTATTATTGTTTTGTCTATGTAGCATAGACTAGCCTTAATTTCACCATTCCCCTGTTTTAGTCCCCTGAGTGCTGGGGTTACAGGATTGTACCAGTTCCCCTGGCTTGTTCTGATTCCCAGCTCACCCATCTTCTTCAGTTCAGGGAATTTAACCTAAAACATTCAAAATGCTAGGCAAGAGATTTACCATTGAGCTGTAGGGAAAATGCAGAACTGAGTTAGCAAGATGGCTCAATGGGTAAGGCACCTGCTGCCAAGAAAACCACAGGCTTTGGACTTCTGATCTTCCTGCCACCTTCTCCCAAACTGGCTCATCACTTTTTCCCCGGGGTGGGGGAGAGAGGAGTGCAGTTTGAGACAGGGTTTCTCTGTTATGTGGTTCTGGCTGTCCTGGAACTCACTGTGTAGATAACATTGGCCTCAAACTCACAGAGATCTGTCTGTCCCTGCTTCCCGAGTGCTGAGATTAAAGGTATGCACCACCACGCCTGGCCTGACTCTTTACTGCTGTATTTTTGACACTTGAGGTTCTTGCCTCTGCCCCTCCCAGAGCTAAGAAATTTCTATGTGCGGCAAACAGTTTGCCAAAGGCAATTATTCTTCTGCTGGTTACACAATCCAGGGCCTATAAACCCAGTGATACCGGCTCTACTAGGCTCTCTTGCCCAGGTTTGCTGTGACCCCAGGGCAGGTCCCACGAAAACCATATGCTCCAGGGCTCTCTGAAGTAATTCAAACCAGCTGATCCTCTTGCCTACACCTTCACAACATTCCCTCTGCCTCTTTTTTAATTTCTTGTGCATCGGTGTATTGCCTGAATGTTTAACTGTGTGAGGATGTTGGATCCCCTGGGACTGGAGTTACAGATAGTTGTGGAAGAGTAGCCAGTATTCTTAACTGCAGAGCCATCTCTCCACCCCCTCCCTTTGCTTAAGTGCTAACTTAGTCTGGGTTACTGTTGCTATGATGAAACACCACTACCAACAGGATGTTGAGGAGGAAAGGGTTTATTTGCCTCAAGCTTCTGCATCTTAGTGCATCACTGAAGGAAGTCAGGACAGGAACTGAAACAGAGCAGGGATCTGGAGGCAGGAGCAGAGGCAGAGGTCATGGAGAGGTGCTGCTTACTGGATTTGCTCTCTGTGGTTTGCTCAGCCTGCTTTTTGTAGAACCTAGGAAAACCAGCCCAAGGAGAGCACCATTCAATGGGCTAGGCCCTCCCCCAACATCCACTAATTTAAAAAAATGCTTGAAGGCTTGCCTACAGCCTTATGTTCTGGAGACATTTTCTTAATTGGGATCCCCTCCTCTCAGATGACTCTAGCCTATGTCAAGCAGACATAAAATTAGTCAGTGTGAGCGCACCTCCCCCCACAGAAAGGAAGGAAGCTGCCAGGCATGATGGCATACACCTTTAATCCCAGTCCTGGGGAGGCACAGGCACGTGGATCTCTGTGAATCTGAGGCTAACCTGGCCTACATAGTAAGTTCCTGGAGAGCCAGGACTATATGGAAAATCCTATCTCAAATAAATAAACAAACAAATACATACATAAATAAAGATGGTGGTGGTAGTGACGATGACAGTGATAATAATAATAACACATAGAAAAGAAGGAAGCTTGCTTCACTAGAGGCAGGCAAGCTTGTGCATACTTGTAACCTCACCTCTCTAGAAGTTCAGCCTCGAGGGACATGAGTTCCAGACCCTCAGAACAGCTTGGGTTGCACCGTCAGATAGCAGGAAGATCTCTTCTTCCTGCCTCTTCCTCTTTTCTTTGAAACGCGGTCTTATTACATTGTTCAGATTGTTCTCACACTCACTATGTAGCTAGATGTGGTGGTGCACACCAATGCTCTGGGCTGTGTGGGGCCAGATGTGGTGATGCACACCAATGCTCTGGGTTGTGTAAGGCCAGATGTGGTAGTGTACACCAATGCTCTGTACTATGTGGGGCCAGATGTGGTGGTGCCCATCAATGCTCTGCACTGTGTAGGGGCAGATGTGGTGGTGCACTCATTTAATCCAAGCACTTAGGAAGCAGAGGCAGGTGATCTCTGATTTCCAGTCCAGCCCATTCTACATAGCAGTTTCCAGGCTAGCCACGGGTGGGGGTTCAGGGAGATGTATTATTTACTTGTGGGGCTTAAACTCCTGAAGATCCTGCTACTACAGCCTCCAGAGTGCTGTGATTACAGGCACGAACAATGCCCAACTTTGTTATTCACTAAAAGGTGGATTTGTTTCTGTTTCATGTGTATGAGTGTTTTGCCTGCAGGTATGTCTGTGTACCACATGTGTGCAATGCCCCTGGAGTGCAGAAGAGGGCAAAAGATCCACTGGAACTGGAGTTAAAGGTTGTTAGGAACCCTCCAGTGTGGGTGCTGGGAATGGAACCCCCAGTTCTCTGCAGGAGCAGCCAGTGCTCCTAAGGCTAAACCATCTCACCAGTCCTTATCACACTTCCTTATTTTCCCAGATTTAATGAGTCCTGAGGCAGAGCTCTGGCACGAGTCTAGCCTTGCCTGGCAGGTCGGGCCAATGGTTTATATGCTTTATGCTCATTAAATCCTTCAGTCACTGAACAGACCTATAATGTGTACTTATATAATAAATCACAATGAAAAACAATAGAGGGAGTGAGACAAAACATGGTTTCATTTCATCCATGGCCTCCCCGCATGACATCCATTCCCATCTTTGCAGCCGATCCCATTTTGTCTTCACATCCAATTTCACATGTGGGGAACACATGGGAGGAGGATGTGGCCAGCTTCCATAACACACAGAGACTAAATTCCACAAGAATTCTCCCAGTCTGTATGAGGAAGAGTCTTACCACCTCTCTCTGTCTCTGTCTCTGTCTCGGGTGTGTGTGTGTGTGTGTGTGTGTGTGTGTGTGTGCGCATGTGTGTGTGTGTGCGCGCGCGCCCAGGCCCTTCACTGATGCTAGGCAAGAGGATCTACCCCTGAGCCATGCCCGTGGCCCCACTATGGTGGATTATAGTCAAGAGATCTACCACTTAGCTACATTCTCAGTCTTTTACTGGTAGATATTAGGTTCGCAATAGAACACTGAGCCATGCCCCAAGCCCCTCTGGTTGGATTTTAGGACAGTTGCTATACTGCTGAGCCATGTCTTCAACTCCTCACTCCTGGATTGTAGGCAAGTGCTCTACCACTGAGTCATGCCCACAGACCCTCACTGGTGAATTCTAGGCAGATCCTTTACCTCAACAGATCCACCTGCCTCTGCCTCCCCAGTGCTGGGGTTAAAGGTGCGCACATCCCCACCCCTACTCCTACTGGTGGGTTTAAAGCTAATTGCTCTACTTCTGAGCCACACCCACAGCTGCCCACTGGGGGATTCTAGGCAGGGACTCCACCACTGAGCCATTTTTAGACTTCTTTACTTTG